AATCCATCAACTGATATACGCACGGGTTTTCCATCTGATCCAGGGATTCCTGGAAACCCCCTCTCTCCTTGCATTCCCCGTGATCCTGGAGAACCCATCAAGCCATTCACTCCTGGTTCTCCCTTCTGACCATGGATGCCATGGAAGCCGGGATTTCCTTTCTCACCTATCTGAAATCCACAAAAAAAGCAGTACTAAGCAACAGCAGAGTTTGCTACCAGCATATTGACATTCTCGGCATTGTGTGTCGCCATTTCACAAATAAAGAACAACACAACATACTGTTATGAGTCAGTCATGCTATTTAAGCTGTCTTAATGTTAATATTTACCTATATAGTATTAAAACTCTTAATTTCTGTAACCTTTCATTGGATGAAATAGTGCAACATAGGGCAACAATTCTTGAACTAAGATACCATAAATGACCTGACTTAGAGATTCTGTACAAAATCTAGGACCCATGACTTGGGAGGGAATGAAATTTGGGAAGGTTATAGCTGCTTCAGTGTTGCTGGGCTGCTTCTGCTTTGGCTCTGCCAAGCTGCTGCTGTGGTCACATGATGCTCACTTTGAATACTCTGTGACAGCTTCCCAGCCATTCTTGCAATTACTTTCTCCCTCACCCAGCAGCAGCCATTTACATGCCTTCTGGAAAGAGAAGGAAGGATTTGGAAGAAAGGAACACATGCGTACCCTTCCCAGTCCATATCACCCCCTCAGGTCCCCCAACTGATCCTCCTTCCTGCACACCTTTCCCAATCATGGCACCTCTTATATACCCCCACACATCATCCCCTCTGAATTTTCTCCAACCTGTTGGCATATCTTCTGCATCCCTACATATCCTTCCTAAGCCACACCACTTTGCACATGCCTTATCTGACTCGCATGGCCCCTCTTGCACAGCCCTACCTACCATTCTTGATCTCGCACACCCTGTCACTCCCTCCCCTACCCGGCAGCAGTCACTTACCTGCCTGCTGGCCTTGGACTTGCAACTTTCTGCTGGCTTCCCCACTGATTTTCTCCTTGCAAGCTTCCCACAAGCAAAGTAAATGGAGAAGCTGGCAGGGAAGGGAAGGAGGAAGAAAGGAAAGGAAAGGAAAGGAAAGGAAAGGAAAGGAAAGGAAAGAAGGAAAGAAGGAAAGGAAAGGAAAGGAAAGGAAAGGAAAGGAAAGGAAAGGAAAGGAAAGGAAAGGAAAGGAAGATGTTTGATGCTCCCTGCCAGTTTCCCGCAAGGAAACTCAATGGAGAAGCTGGCAGAAACTCAGAAGTTGCTCCCATGCAACTTTTTTGCCCATACGTGATCATTCTGCTTCTCTGTTTAGGTAAGGAAATATCTCTGAAATGAAGACCCAATGGGGCATAGGTTGTCTAATGTTTTACACCAAAAGTTAAAGTCCAGTGCAAGAATAATCCTTTTCTCTGCCCCACACCCACCCACTTTCATGGTAAACATCTGAAATGCTGCTTAGATTGTTATTAAAACTGAAAAATATGAAATTCCAGAGTCATAGGTAATATAAAAAAAAAGAGAGGAGCAAAGTAAACTGTATTTTGTTTCAAGATAGTTAATATAACTGATATTAACTATTATCAGCCTGATTATAACTATTAAATCAGCCTTTCCCTATTTATTTCCTCCTCGATGTTTGAGAATTGGAGACTTGGTCGGAATTTGAGGGAAGAATGCACTGAATGATATGCAAGCATAGGAGTCAACATTTTGAAGCCTCAGCGCTTCTTCTTACAAGAGGTTACTGTGGGTGCAATCTAATGCAGCCCTTGAGTGCACTTCAGTTCATGAATTTCAATGGCTCCAAAATACAGTTAAGCCTATGTTGGAAAATCAGTCAGAACTATATATTTTTTCTAAATAGAAAGCCAAATCCACCTCAACCACAATGGAACAAACACTTGGGCAGACCGGTTTTCTTTTACTATTGTGACGGTGATTAGTAGCACATCCTAATCCCGTTTTAACTTCCTTGCAAAATGAAATAGTTTGAAAGCCACAGAGAAATCTGCAGATCTGAGATGGTACTTAACAAACTGAAATCATTTCTCTCATAAGATGTTCCTTCTTCTTGTCTTCTGCCAGAAAGAATAAGACTCAAAGTATAATAACTAAAGTTGAATGTAAATAGAGATTTTTTTAAAAAAATGAAAAAAAAATGATATCAAAACTAAAGAAGATAGCAAATCTTTTCTACAAAAATATATAAAATCAAAGGAAAAGAAATCTGCTTGTTAAATAAGTTTGCAATGTAGTTGAAACTAAAGAAAACCAGTTATTTAGCATTCTTCTTGCTTTTTGAGAATCATTAATGGGGATAGGTGGCCTTTTCTAAGCCTGAAAATTAAGTAGAATAGGGCTTGGCTAGTTCTTGCAAGGAAATACCAAATCTGTAGGCTAAATTGGGAAGTGAAAAAGCATCGCAGAAGACAAAGGTAAATCTCTTCTTTGTTAGCCAAGAAAATTACATGAATGTGTCCAAAAGGCTAATCAGGAATCAAGATCAAACTTAAGGGGACTAATAAATCGAAACCTTCTTGAAAGGCTGCAATTATAGTTCCCAGAATTCCCAGTAAGAATGTTGTTCACTGGTTGCACTAGTTGGGAATTCTAGGGTAAATTGTAGTAATTAAACACACCACACAACTAATGCTTGAAACTGACTGATATTTGAGTCTTTTAAGTTTAAGTTACGATTATACTAAGCAAAATCAAAATGAAAAATTTACATAATGCAACATAAAATCCATGCTCAAACTAGCAGTTGAAATACTCAGAACAACAAAAAAGAAATGAGTATGAAACAAAAAAACAGCACGTACCTCTCCTTTATCTCCTTTTAATCCCACTGATCCCTTTTGGAATCAAAATTGTAAAACACATAATGAGTTATTGTGAAAATGTACTATTTCTACTGACATATAGTTAAATTTACTTACATTAAAATGCACACTTTAAAAAAAAACACAAAGTTTCCAAGCAACTACAGTTGCAAACTATCTTTTTCATCTTGACATCTAATAGCTTGAAGTATTATTTTTTCCAGCAAGGAAAAATTCACTCTGCAAGATTAAGATGGGAAAAATATACTCTTTTAAAACTAAATGTATAGACTTGGATCCAAAACTCCAAAATTCAGCTAATAAAATAATCTCACTTTGTGGGTGCAAGTGAGAGGCAAGAAATTGTTAACTGAATCCTCCTCTCTGAAATCACACAACAGATGCTCCAGGTCAGAAAGAAATGGGACTGAGGTGTCCAATTTATTGTTGAATTAAATTGTTCACCTCAGTCCCATTTAGTTACCATGGAAAATGTGTCCATTGGTCCAGTCAGGCTCTCTGCTTTACCATCCTTTAAACAAAATCTTTTAATTAAAAATGAAACAATGGGGAGCCATGAAAAAAGGGCAGGCCTCCACCATCATTTTTTGTTTTAAAAATAAAAATAAAAATGGTAAACTTTGTTTACTTGGCAGCAAGCAAATGCACCCAGGTGCCCCAAAAGTAAGTTGGGTCTCTGGCACAGAACATCCTGAGGGAGGGAATGGGGTATAAGTGTTGCAGGAGAGGAGCACATCAGCTTGTTTTGTGATAAAAACAGGCATGTTGGGACTGATCACCTACACCATGACAGCTATTTATGAGAATCTATGTACACACTGACAGCACAGGTAGTCCTCAAGTTACAACAATTCATTAGTGACCATTCAAAGTTATAATGGCACAGGAAAAAGTGACTTATGACCTTTTTTCACACTTATGACCGTTCAAGCATCCCCACGGCCACATGATCAAAATTTGGACACTTGGCAACTGGCTCATATTTATGACGATTGCATTATCAATATTGTCAATATTGCTTAGCGCATTGTAAGCCGCCCTGAGTCTCCGGAGAAGGGCGGCATATAAATCAAATTTAAAAAAATAAATAGGGAAACCAGATTCACTTAACAACCATGTCAGTAGCTGAACATCTGCAGTGATTCAGTTAACAACAGTGGCAAGAAGGGTGGTAAAATGTGGCAAAACTCACTTAACAATTTCTCATTTAGCAAAAGAAGTTTTGGGCTCGATTGTGGTCGTAAATCGAGGATTACTGGCATATTCCTAGTATGTCCATCAACCCAAAATATTTCTAGTGTCTGCTGTCAGAAATTAACCAGAGCCTTATGAGGCTTATGAGAATTGCCAAAACTGTGACAAGCTTTGTTTGAGGATAAAAAAATGGAAAAAACACATTACCAGCAAATATGTCCTGTAAAAAATTGTGGAATTCAGAAAGGACTTGATAATCTCTCCTTCTCACCTTATGGCCTGGAGTACCGGTTTTGCCTCCTTCACCCTTATGACCCTTAAGAAAAAACAAAACAAAACCAAATTGGTTACTGATGTGAAATGGAATATTCACACAACTACATATAGGCTGGATCCTAACAAGCCTATTCATTTATTTCAATATATCTACTTTCAGGAGGATTACATGTAGACTTCACAGATTGCTTGAATCATTAAGTTCCATTATTTACATTCCAACTGTGTAATTTATGTTGTCCAAATTTCAGTATATTGCTGTATATCACATTTATATTGATTCAAACAATACACACACCACATCTGATTTCTAAACCTGAAGCAAAACAATAGGAAATTTAATTTGGATCTTAATTTTAAAGAATATTTAAACCAAAGATGTAAAAATAGCTTAAGAAATGTCAAAAAAAGAAATCGGAAAAGATTCCACAGGTATAACATCAGATAGAACTTTCAATAAAACATATATATATTCACTGAAAAAACAATGGGGGGGTTCTTGACTCTTGAAAAAGAGTCTTAATTAGTTTGATATAGTCGGTAGTTCTGCCATGCTTTGATGTAACTTGTTCATATTTCATTGTGTTAAAACCTCAATAAAACGCATTGCTAATTTTTCATATTAACTTTAGATTGTGTCTTAAATAACAAAGGTGCCAATCTGTACCAATTGGATCCTCCAGATACTCTCAACAAGCCGACCAGCCTAATTAACTCTACAAGATCACATTTATGATCCTGGGATGGTAGTTTGTTCTGTCTAGCACAGGTCAGAGAATGAAACCTAAAAACAGTCTATGGCTTCTCTGATTGAACAATAAAGCACAGTCACAGGTAATGCAAAGTTTCACAGCTTATATTCTTTTCGTCAAGCAAGCATTATTCCTAGTTATATCATCACTTAAAAAAAAAGGAAAAAGCAGCATACCTGGATGCCTTTTTCACCCTGGTTTCCTTTTTCTCCCTGAAAAGTAAAATTTCTTGTTAAACTGTTATTTGTAACAGTAATGGTGAAATTAAACCAAAACAAATTAAAAACTATTACAGATAGTCCTTGACCTACAACCACAATTGAGCCAAAAATTCCCACTGCTAAGCAAGTTGTCAAATGAGTTTTGCCCCATTTTATGACCTTTCTTGCCACAATTATTAAGTGAATCACTGCAGTTATTAACTGAATCATGTGGTGGTTAAGCGAATCTGGCTTCGTCAATTGACTGCTTGTTGGAAGCCAGCTAGGAAAGTTACAAAAGGTGTTCACATGAACCTGGGACAGTGCAACTGTCATAAATACATGCCAGTGCCAAGCACCTAAATTTTGATCAAATAACTATGGAGATGCTGCAACAGTTGTAAGTGGGAAAACTGGTTACAAGTCACTTTTTCAATGCCGTTGTAATTTAAAATGATCACTAAATGAATGATTGTAAATCAAGGACTATCTGCAGTTGTATTTGTAGACATGCCTTGTACATATGAAATGGTTTTTCCATGACATCATGAAATATATTTATACAAGGCAATGTGCAATCTCTTGAACAATAGTTTGCACAACTTAGAGCCATGCTAGTACATGGCATTACACAATTTCCATTTTTAATTTCACATCTCCAGTCATTCTTGGCATGCCAGTTTATTAGACCACATCATTGTTCGAATTTCTTTTGCACCCACATTTCTGGATCCTACTTATTTGTTTAAACAATTTTGAACAAAGATTCTCAATGCAGTAACAAGTGTATCAGTGTATATTTCTGCTTTGATTAAAGAGCCCATGATATAAGAAGAAAAACTGATGTTAAGGAAGGGTATTGCAAATGTTTAAAGTCTTCAGAAACTGAAAGATCTTCAAGAAGACACTCATCTTCAGCTGCAAATAGGATTTTACTGTTGCATTCAGGTAAATTCTTGCCCAGTTTCCCTAAAAGCCAGTAAAAGTCCTTTTAAACAAAGATGTCCAGTGATGTGTAATTTTAATACTCCATTTGAGATAACTTATTTTCCCAAATGTAAATTTATAATATTGAAAAGAAAATAAGTTGATCTTAAAAAATTATTTCAGAATATTGTAAAGCTTGTGTTCTTTGGATAAATGTGTCTATTGTGATACTGAATTAATGACTAGGAAGAAAATTGTAGATGTGATAAAAGCAATATTTTACTTCTTAATATTACATAATATATTCATGGACTTTGGATTGATGGAAATGAAAAGAAATGTGATAGAGGGGTAAAAATTAGAACTCATAATAGAAAGGTATAATTTCACCCTCCACTCATCTTTTTTGTATCCATATCTCCACCAGCCATGTATCATATGGCCTTATGGAGAGGTTGATATGACAAGCCATGCAATATCTTTCTCTCCAAGTTATTATACCATGCAAGCTGGACTCTTTCAAATGTAATTTTCCTATGTTAAGCTTTCAGTGGCCTTCAATATCATTCAAAATCCTAACCTTAACCCTAGCCCATGGCATTCTTCTCAGCCGCTTAAGAAGACTGGGGATCAGAGGTATTGTTTGGTCCTGTCTAACCCTAAAGTGAGGGTCTATTTGATGATGATGAGATAAGAGAAATATATAACCCTATTGAAAAAGCACTTTTGGAATTACCATGATCTGGATAACTGAGAATCTCCATAGACATGATCACATATGTAGGATATGGCAACCATTGTAAGTGCAAGACTGTTGCTAGCACCCAGATCACAATCACAAGACTGCAGGGATGCTGGAATAACTAGAACTTCAAGGACCTGTCTTTAAGTACCATTAGTATACCTTCAAACACAAAATTATCGGTTGGGTTTTTTCTTACGTTTTGTGGCATTTCACACATGAGAACTCCCAAAGTACTATAACTATATGGGCACAAAAGCCGTCTAAATTAAACAAATAAATATTAACTAAAGTTTCTTCTCTTCTAAGACAGGCCTTAGTGGAATTTAATCCACTAATCTCTATGTACTGATATCACATGGACAAAACAAATTATTCCAGTTAAATATTCATATCTTCGGAGGTTAAGGGAATTGTCTGAAGTAGATGCACTTTTCATTGATAAAAGTCAGCAGCGCAATCATATATTCTGAGAAGAGTCTTGCAATTTCTGGTTCTGATTGGGAAAATTGTAACTACAAAGTTAACTTTTTGTCGAATGGTCTTAAGTATTACATTTGTAAGAGTAATTCACAACTAAAGGCTCACTGATTCTTTGGGCTTTGTTATAAAAGGAAATAAAGGTCCATGATAATATTTTTTTTAAAAAAAACAGGCATACCTTCAAACCGGGAGGACCAGGCATCCCGGGATAGCCTGGTTCACCTGAATCACCTTGTCTTCCTTGTTCTCCCTAAGAAACCAAAAAGAACTCCATAAATAGGAAACTACACATTCTGAAAATGCATTGTTCTTGTGAAGCTGTGGACAGAATTCTGCAAATACCTGATTTGAAAGCACATGGATGGTAATGACTTTGCACTTCTTTTTTCTTGGGCCTTCACATTACAGTTGTGCAAAATCTTAAGAAGAGGTTCTTCACAATATGAGGGTGCATGAATGAAATGGATCTTTAAACTCTTTACATAGTGTTAAAGTTGCCATATTGTTTATAGGGCATACAGTATGCAGCTGTCCCACTTCCCCAGAAAAGTATTTCTTTCATATCCTTATTTCCCAGCACTTGCTGGAGAAGAAAACTTCTTGGCCAATATAGAATTCTATTCTATATCTTTCAGGGGGTTTTTTCCCTGAATATTTCCAGCACAGAGTAAATCCCTGTGATATTTTGTCATCAAATGAGCTGTAAACATAACAAACTTGATAAAAATTCATAAGCACATTCATTATTCTTGGCTTTGCTCAGAATACTGAAAATATCCATCAACATGAAGAAAATTGAACTATTTACATAAAAGCACAGCTCTTCTATCACAATCCTGATAAAATGATTTCAGAACTTGATTTATGCAAACATTTAAAAGAACTGCAGTGGTAAATCATTTTTTTAAAAAATCACCTCATTTCTAATTGCTACAAGCATTTAGCCAACAAGTTCCCCACCAGTCCATGTTCAAATTGGGAATCGAGCTCTAGGTACAGGTAGTCCTCAATTTATAACCACAATTGGGATTGAAATTTCCATTGGTAAGTGAGGCAGTTGTTAAGTGAGTCATTTCCAATTTTGTGACCTTTTCTGCTGTGGTGGATAAGCAAATCACAAGAGTTGCTAAGTTAACCATACTGTTTTTAAGTGAATCTGTCTTTCCTCCATTGACTTTGCTTATCAGAAGCTGCCTGGGGAAGTTGCAAACAGCGGTCATGGGACCCTGGGATAGTACAACAATCATAAATATAGTTGCCAAGCACTGTTGTGGCTCCGTTACCGGAGCCTGTGTCATCGTCAGGAGAGGACTCCGAGAGTGAAGGGGAGGAGTTGGCAAGGCCTCCCTCTCCAGGACCCTCCTCTCTGGCAATGCCTTCGGTGTCCGCCGAAGGGCAAGAGATAGGGCCAGGGCCAAGCACGTCCACGCAGCCACAGATGGACAGTGATGAGGGTAATGAGTCTTGGCTGGACCCACGCCAGCGTTGCAGAGATAAGCGCATGCAACAGAAGAAAGGGCGTGCCCGAGATTAGGCTGAGTCACTGGACCACACCCCACAGGATATAAAAGGGAGCGTGGTGGCCAGTCAAACCTTGTGATGAACAAAGCTGAAAGCTTCCACGCCATTCTGCATTGCCGGACTTTTGCTTTAAGACTGGATTATCTGTGGACTTGATTATAATTATTGAGCTGCTTTCCTTTGATGTATCAGAAGTGGGGAGAAGTTATCTCTCCTCTTTGTAAATAATAAACTCTTGGCAGGCAGCCACTAGGTTGTTGCCAAGTTCCGTTATCATAAGGAAAAGGATTTTGCTGGCTGGTTTGGTCTTTAACTCCTGAACGTCTGTTGGTGTGTGTGCATGGGGTTGGGGACAGAACAAGCACCCAGATTTTGACCATGGAACCACAGAGATGCTACAACAGTCGTAAGTGTGACAATTGGTGATAAGTCATTTTTTCAGCACCAATATATCTTTCAATGGTCACTAAACAAATGACCATAAGTCAAGGACTATCTGTACTTTCAACAATTGTTATCTTTCACAAATGTTAGATGTAAAGGGCCCTGGTTAAACTTTGTGCAGATGTCAACATGAGCCACGGTTAAAAGTGACAAAAATTAACATGAGAAAGGAGGTACGAGACCTGAGTAACCATGCGTGGATACTGGCCCCCAATTCCAGAACATATATATCCCTGGAGCTTCTGCAAAAGGGAACTCCATCCATAAACATAGCTCATATATTTTTATTTTAATAAGGAGTAGCTAATATAGGCAGTTTGTCCTTTAATTATCAGGAGAAGCTAAGTTTTTTTTTCAGTAATCACAAGTTCATTTCAGGAAGAGAAAAATGTACACTGAACACAAAGCAAGCATAGTTTTTAGGTTAACCAAAGAATGTAGTTCCTTGCCTCACACGACACACTGAAACTTAGCCAAATTTACCTTGGTACCTGGAATTCCTGATTTCCCTTGAGGTCCTTGTTCACCCTTGTTGCCCTGTGAATATGAGACTTTAATTAGTTAATGGTTTTACTAAAACAAATTGTACAAAATGTTTAGCCAGACAAATTAAATGAATACGCCAGGTTGTATCACTGCAACTCTTCCTCTCGGGAGCTACCCCTTTTCTGAAATTCCCCTATTGTAATGTATACAGAGTGATTTAGAATAGTATCATGAATTGTGGCTGTATCTGAGTGAGTGTGCTGGTGCGTGTAAGAGAATAGAGGAACATATTAGAGAATGAAGGGGGAATTGTTACAGTTCAGTTTACAAGCTCTTCTGTTTTCATTTCTTACATACATGAAGGAGATGCATTGAAAGACTGCAGCACTGGGTTTATGGGAGTTACAAAATCCCACAAAATGAGCATGGATATAGAAGCTTCAATGCACAGACTTTTATGTTCCAAGATTTCTACAAGAAGCACGTAGACTTCATCTACTCAGATGTGCAAGATCTTGCTCCCCCTTCCAATTTAAGGAAAGGACTGTTATTTCAACTTTGGACAGAATGAAACAATCTTAAAAAGCCCTGTATTTCCTGCACGTATTGAGCTTCCTGTGCTCCCAAATATTGACTTCACTATGCTAGAGTTCAGAAGAGTTTTCATATATTTGATTTTTCTCTTGTTTATTTATAATTTGGATAATGTTTTTTTAAGATTTCCTTTTTTACAAGTCAAAGCAGAAAATATACCTTAGGACCAGACCCTCCAGGTAAACCTGATGATCCCTCAGGTCCAGGAAGACCCTGAGAAATAGAAACAAAAACAGATATACATAAACAATCCCCAAGATTTCTTTTTAAAAATGAGAAAGATGGAACATAACTAATACTGATTGTTACAATTTCTTCTAACATGAACCCTTTCATTTCTTACATTTGAATAATACAAATGGAAAATGTGGATATATTGCACTGTTACTGCATTCTGCCTCTTTTTGCCTTATATTTTTATACTTGCAATTGAACATTTAACATTAATTCCTTCCAAATACAAATAAATATAAGGGTTACATGTTTATTATTTAGAGAATATAATCTGTTTTCCTAATAGCCTTTCCAAAATAGGAAGTGCTCTATAAGAGACAATATGCTTGCTTTAAAAATCAGGCATTTCTACTACACCATGACTCCATATTCATCTGAATCCATTCTGCCTTATATGCATACAATTTCAATTTATTCAATACAGTGGAAAAATTTCCTCACAATGGAAAAGAAAAATAAGAGAGGGATGAGGAGTTGAGTAAACAGCATTGTCATCGATACTAAACTAAAAACCTGA